GGTTTTTTTTTCCCCCATGATTTTTTAAATTGTGGTAAAATACACAGAACATAAAATGTACCATGTTAGCTGTTTTTAAAGTGTAGTTCAATGGCTTTCAATTGCTTTGTAGTGATTTGTAGCCATTGCCATCATCCAGTGTCATCCCATCTTGTAGCACTGAAATTCTGTATCAGACACATAGTCATGTGTTCATTCTTGTCTCCTAGTTCCTGCAACTACCACTTAATGTTGGCATTATGGTTTCTACTGCCTTTAAGTACTCCATAAGCAGGATGGGAGCGTCTGTATTTTTGAGTTGGTTTCTTTCACGGAGTGTTAGGATCTCAGGATTGGTCCAGATTGTAACATATGTGAGAACTTTTTTTTAAAGACTAAATAATATTGCATCATATGCATAGACTACAATTTCTTTACCTTTTCAGCTATCAGCAACCACAGTTTGCTGAGTCCATGTTTCAGCTCTTGCTAACAAGGCTGCAGTGAACATATCATTATATACAACTATATCATTAAGATAGACTCAGGTTGCATACTAGATCATATAGCAGTTCTCGCTTCAATTTTTTTTTTTTTTTTTTAGAAAGTGCTCTGCCGTTTCCCTGATGGCTTAGTACTGTGTGCTCTACTCCTGCATCTTTGCCAACGCTTGTTATTTTTGTGTGTATGTATATCCACATAAGTCATTAGCTAGAGCCCAATTCAGAAGGGTGGCCTCTATGGGGGGACTGTGATCAACATCTTTTCATGAACTCATAAACCTTTTATGTGTCTTCTTTGGAGAAATGTCTGCTCAATGTTTGAATGTCTTTTAGGGCCTGAGTTGAGTCAAATCCTGTGTGTTTTATCATTTCTGTGTTGTTGTTATTATTATTATTATTTGAAAGCAGCATTGTTGAAACTGGGGATATGGCTCCATAAGTGAAGCATTTGTGCAAACATAAGGAGCTTAGTTCTAATCAACAGCACCCGCTTAAAAGCTAGGTGTGGTAATGCATGTCTGTAACACTAGCACAGGATGGGGTGGGCAGAGATAGGTGGTGCCCAGGCCCCCGTGACCCACCAGTATTGCCAAAATAGAGAACTCAAGTTAAATGAGGTACTGTCTCAAAAAAATAATAATAATAATAAGGTGAAGAAGCAGTTGGTGAAAACAGACTGATGTTAGTTAGTGTCTAGCTTCCACATTGCTTACATAGGCATACATGGATATCACACACATACATATGCACACACACACACACACACACACACACACACACACACGCACGCACGCACCATTGTGTGGATTTTGTTGTGGGGGGTTGGGAATTCTTTACATGTCGTGGGTTTTTATCTCTTATCAGAGGAGTCTTTGAAATGGATTTATTTTCCCCCATTTCCATGCCATGATTTATTGGTTATTGCCACATTGCTGCAACAGACTCACTTTAAGGAAGAAAAGGTCCTCAGGGTTACAGGCCTGTGCAGTCCATCCCTGCACAGGGATATGAAGCAGCTGGTCGCCTCCGTGGATAGCCAGGAGGCCGAGAGATGAATGCTGATACTCAGTTCACTTTCTCCCTTTTACTCATTTTGCTCCTCCAGCCCGTGGAATAGCGCCACCCACATTCAGGGCAGTCTTTCCATCTCAGTTAACCTAATCTAGAGGATGTCTCACAGATACCCAGTGCTTTGCCTCCACGGCGATTCTAAGTCTGTCCCATTGACAATCAACACACACACACACAACACACACACACACACACACACACACACACACACACACACACACACACATCACCTTTTCATACTGTTAAGTTTGCTAAGTTCAGAATGTCCACATTTTTTGTTTGCCCCCTGACTTTGATGTCATGCTTTAGAAATAATTGCCTAATGCAATATCATGAACTTTAGTGTGTATTTTCTTCTTAATCGCTTAGTTTTAGGACTCTGACCCAGTTTACAAAGTTAACTTTTTCATGTGGTGTGAAATGGGAGGAGGCAGTCTTTTGCAGGGGGATATGCAGTTTTGTTGAAAACATTGCCTTATGTCTATTGAATAGTCTTGATGTCCTTGTTCAAAATTACTTGGCCTTTTGGTGTCAAGGTCTAATTCTATTCCATTAGTTTGTATCTGTCTCTTGCCAGTACCACACTATTTTGATTACTGTAACTTTGTTAAAGTCCAGAGGTAAACATCCTTCCCCTTTGGTTTTTATTTTATCTGTGT